AGAAGAAGAAGAAGAAGAAGAAGAAGAAGAAGAAGAAGAAGAAGAAGAAGAAGAAGAAGAAGAAAGTTACTTTTACTAGAATACATTTCAGGAGAGAAAAAAGACAATTTCAAGTAAAATAAAACACAGTTAGCTGGGTGTGGTGGTGCATGCCTTTAGTCCCAGGAATTAGGAGGCAGAGGCAGGCAGATCTCTGTTGAGTTCACGGCCAGCCTGGCCTACACAGTGAGTTCCAGGACAGCCAGGGAGACCCTGTCTCAAAACCACCAAAAAGAAAAGAAAAATAAAATTACCTTCTAAAATGATGAATCCAGTAATGTTCAAGGACCAAGCAAAACAGAAAAACATGTAAGAACACAACAAACAAGCCTGGTTAATATTATTTTGAAAGGAAAGGGTAAAATTACTTTTAAGCAAGCAGATCATTCTGTCTAGGCACATTCTCACAACTAGGTGATCTGGGAAGAATAAAAGTAAACCTGATGGATACTAATGATGAAAGATAAACTGTTAAACACTAGTGTACACGTGTGTTACAGTTACAAGTACACACACACACACATACACACACACACACACACAATTCTATAATACTGTGATATCTCTTTGGGACAGATCTACCCATCAGCAATCCATAGATTTACCTTCAATTAAAATTGATTGTGATAAATATTTAAAAGTATAGATTATCATACCAGGAAAAGTGAAACAAGCCAGTACTATACATAGCCAATTGCAGCCACGCTTAACAGGAGAGACATGTAAACATCATCTGATTCCTCACCAACGGTGTGACAGACAGAGTGACAACACTAACCCTTTCACTAGCAGAAACACATTACCCAGGGTATTTCATCCTCACAACTGTGTTTTCTCAGAACAGAAACGTTCCGGCCAACACAGCATCCTTCTTTTTACGTCTCTCTATACTCACTATCTCTGGTACCTATGCTCTTTCCATTTTAGGAGTAACTCTAACTGCACTACAGAAATGAACTAATCATAAATGATTTCCCGCTATCCCATTTTATTTCATGTGTACTATGTGCGGTTTTAAATGTTCAGTGTCTTTATGTCTGAAGACAGCTATGTCTAATGATAAAAGTAGCAAGAGTTAAGAAAAGTTATGTACAAAACTATGTACAAAATTCAGAGTTGCTGCTCAGATGTGCAGCAGGAGGGCCTGGTAGACTAGGAGGCCCAGGAGTGAGAGGCCATGGCAGTTTCCACTGGGGCTCATGGAGGGACAGTGGAAGACAAGGAGTGGATTCCTTTTACTGAGATGGAATGCCTGGTCAAATCCCCGGAGGGCCACCTGCCTCCCTGCCATCAAGGAATCTGCAGTCACATTTTTCCTGAGCATTCCTCCAGGATGAGGTTCTAATCTTGCCAGTACAGAAGGAGACTCAGGGCGATGGGCCAGCTTCAGGGCTTGTCACTACTGGGACTACAATGCTCATGCTGGGCTTGGTGGTAAGTGCTCCAAGGAGGTAGCCCCTGCCATCCGAGGGGCCATCATCTTAGTCAAGTGGACACACTGTCCCCTGTCTGGAGAGACTACTGGGGTACCAAGATAGGCAAACCCCACACCCTGTCATCCAAGGTGACAGGCCACTGTTTGTGATGGCCCACAGATGCTCTCTAGTGAGACCTTACTCAGGGTCTGAGCTGGCTTTATCCAGCAGGGCTACATAATGGGATGATTTGGCCACAGGGGTGGTTACCAGGTGTTTTGAAAGGTCTGCACTTGGCTGTGCATTGTGCTTTGATCTTGAACAGGTGAGGTCTTTTGCCTCGCCCCTTGGCATTGTATAAAAAGCCCTTTGGAATAAACCTTGAGGCGACTCTGTATTGACGCAGGGCCCTCCCGAAGCTATCCAGTGTCTCTGTCTTTCTTGTCATCTCCTTCTATCTTTCTATCTAATACTTCCTCATTCCTCTCTCCCCCCCACAAGAACCTTTGACAGGGCGGAGCTGGACTCTGACAGACTTCCACAACTACTGCTCTGTGCAGGTGTGCTTCGTCCTGCTCCCAGAGGCCCGGCATCATCTCTGCTCCTGTGCCCCAGACACTGCTGCTGATGGCCGGTACTGATGACTGCTGCATGTCAGCCAGGGCTGCATGTCACCCTGGGCAACGTCACCTCTGATGACGTCTGTCATCTCCAACACCTACAGCTACCCGACCACACCTGCAAGGAGACTGTTCACCAAGTCTCCCCATGAGGAATTCACTGACCATCATGTGAAAACCCACACCAGAGCCTGGTTCACAGGACCCGGGCTCCAGCTATGGCTCCCACGTAGGGATTTTCCACCAGAAAAAGAAACTGAATTAAGTCTGCTAAAAAATACAGAAGTCATTCAACCAGAATTGGGTTTGTTTCCTTTCACAAGAGTAATATATGAATATTTACTAAATGAAGTAAAAAATGACAGGCTAATCATTAATTAAAACCAAAGAGAGCAGCGTTTCCCAAACTGGGGGTTATGACCTCTTTGGAGGATGGAATGACCTTTTCAGAAGGGTCATCTAAGACCACCAGAAAATATGGATGTTTACATTATGATTCATAATAATAGTAAAATTACAGTTATAAAGTAGAAATGAAAATAATTTTGTGGTTGGGGGTTACCTCAACATGAGGATCTGTATTAAAGGGTCACAGCATTAGGAAGGTGGAGACCCACTGCTTTAGAGGACTCCACTTCTTAACAAGTCATTTACACACAAGGCTGTATTTTTATAAACATTGTCATTAGCTCAAATACAGAGAGGAATAATACTTGTCTTGTACTGCTGTGGGATGTTCTGTATGTTAAATGTGTTGCTCTGATTGGTTGATAAATAAAATACTGATTGGCCAGTAGCCAGGCAAGAAGTATAGGTGGGACAAGGAGAGAGAAGAATTCTGGGAAGTGGAAGGCTGAGGCAGAGAGACGCTGCCAGCTGCCACCATGAGAAGATGTTAAGATACCGGTAAGCCACGAGCCACGTGGCAACTTATAGATTAATAGAAATGGGTTGATTTAAGATATAAGAACAGTTAGCAAGAAGCCTGCCACGGCCATACAGTTTGTAAGCAATATAAGTCTGTGTTTACTTGGTTGGGTCTGAGCAGCTGTGGGAGGGTGAGAGAGATTTGTCCTGACTGGGCCACGCAGGAAAACTCTGGCTATGTTGCACTACAAATGGGAATCAATTAGTCCGTCTCCAGGCAGCCATGTAAGTCTAATGTGTGAGAAACTACTGTTCGGTGGGTGTGGTTTCCAAGCCCACGGCAGCCCTTGTGTCTCTCTCTGTCTAGAGATCAGGATGTGGCTCTCAGCTACTGCTCCGGTGCCTCCCCGCCTGCCACCATGTTCTGCCGTGATGATGGATTAATCCTCCGAAACTGTAAGCCAGCCACAATTAAATGCTTTCCTTTGTAGGAACTGTTGTGGTCATGGTGTTTCTTCACAGCAACAGAACAGTGACTAAGACAGTGGGTAAGAGTTACAAAAAAAAAGGCTAACGATACAGTAACTTATCCAGTCCTCTCATTACCACCAGCTACCAAAAGACCGACAACGCTAAAACCAGAACAGGCTGCTCTAGAATCTCCTTGTTTAGAGTAGTTGTGTGTGTGTGTGTGTGTGTGTGTGTGTGTGTGTGTGTGTGTGTGTGTGTGTCGGTGTGCACGCGAGTGCATGTGTGAGTACAGATCCATGTGCATGTGCAGGCCAGAGGTCAACACTGAATGTTGTTCTTTAGTCAACGAGACAAGTTCTCTCCACGGTCCGAACTCGCCTACCAGGCGGGGCCTGCTGCCTGGTGAGCCCCACTACACCGACCTTTCTACACGGGTGCTGGGGGCAGAACCCAGGCCCTCGGGCTTGCTGGAAAGCTCTCTACAGACTGAGCTATCATCTCCCTAGACCCCTGGATGCGAGGACTCTACAGCACCAGTCTGAGGTACTTGTGGTCCAGAACAACATTTGTATAAGACTTCACCATTTACTTAGCACTTTGGGCTGTTGCTTTATTTAACCCTCCCAATAATCTCAAGGCTGTTTTGTTGTTATTGTTGTGTTTTGCTTGGCTCTCGGCTTCCTCCCACTGACTGCCAACACTCTCAGGCAGCCAGGGCCAGCCTGCAGGGGTGCAGGCTGTGCAAGGAAACGGCTCAGATCACTGGTGTCCCCCCCAGTGTCCGATGCTGGGGAAGGGGTAGGAATGCAGTCCCCACGGGAGACGGGATCCTCTCTCAAAGAGCAAACGCACTGTCACACACTGCACTAAATTTCACGTCTCTGCCGGCCTATGGTTTTCCCCGTCACGCATACCTGACAATGACATCAGCGTGTTATTGATGACGTAGAGCCATGTACATTTCCGTGGAAACAACTGAGGAGGAGGGGGAGGAGGAAGAAGAAGAAGATTATTAAACTGTACACCTTTGATTCTCTCCTCTTACCCTGTCCCCAAATCCCAACCCAGTAAAGGGCTGCCGGCCGGGGGCGGGACTCAGTGGCAGCGCATGGGCTGGGCATGCTCAGGGCCCTGGGATTAGTCCTCAGAACTGGCAAAACGAAACCAACGGTACTAGAAAAAGTTTGGTAATTTCTTTGGGAAAAGTACTAAAACCTTAAGAGAAAAAAAAAAACCTTTTAACATGAACAATCCTTTAAGTATTTAAACCATAAAAACTAAGATTAGAACCCATATAAATGGATTTAAAATTATGATACTTCTTTTATCCAATTTGCTCAAACTAATTCTTTAAGTTAAAAATTTTAGTACCTGTTCCATAGTTGCTTCATGTAGCTCATTGAGATTCAATGTGTAAATACCATCTTCAGTTCCAAAAATAATGTACTGATCTATAACAGCAAGTTACCAGAATTTATTATCATTTTCTGAAATTGCACACTCAGATAAGGGCTATATGTAGTGATGATATTTAGCATTAGATGGCCACACATTCACCAAAGAACAAGCATTTTTTAACATTCATGCCACCATGTTTCTTTCCCATGTTTTAAAAAGTAAATATAAGCTGTGTAAGACTTTAACTCAATGCTGCCTTCCAACTGAATTTTAAACTGTTATAGTAGTACATTTTTGCAAGACACTCCAAATACTCAAATATACCTTAAAATATAAACCATAAGCCATGACACACCACAAATAATGAACACACTTTTTGTTCAGACGTCGGTTTCCAAATACTATTACCACTAAAAAGAACCAGAGCTTCTTGGAGCAAAGACTGATTCTGAGGAAGGAAAGCTGAAACTGCCAGGAAAGTGAGGGATTGTCCCCACACTGAAGGGGACAGGAGAGTGAGGGATTGTCCCCACGCTGAAGGGGACAGGAAAGTGAGGGATTGTCCCCACACTGAAGGGGACAGGAAAGTGAGGGATTGTCCCCACACTGAACGGGACAGGAAAGTGAGGGATTGTCCCCACACTGAACGGGACAGGCACTGCCATTGCCCATAAATCCTAGAAACATGTAAGTGTCCAAAGAAGTCACAGTGTAGATACATCTTACTGAACATAGACTCCAACATCCAAATTGATGAAACTGACATGGAATTTTAAACTGAATGTTAGATTGGAGAAATTAAAATGAGTGGAGACAGCAGGATATAAATAAGGAGAAGCTTCCTGATTTATTTATTTATTTATTTGAGACATCGTCCCAGTATAGCCCAGACTGGTCTTGAATTGTTTTTTTCTTGCCCACTCACACCCCCAAGCTAAGCTATGAGCACAAAACCCCTAAATATTTACTCCTAAATATTCACCTGTGTATTTTTTTTAAAAATAAGTTTTATGCAACCATAGAACACCGAGACTGAAACAGGAATTCCCACTGCCCACAGACCTCAATGGCGGGCTAGGAACTAACGCCTCGTCCTTCCAGACGAAGGACACAACATCTGTGCTAAGCCGTTAGCCTCCTTGACAAGAACCGCTCCTGCACACTGCTCAACTCTGACGCACTTGAACCAGGGCCGAGCGACTTACTTCCTTGTCGTAAGGCCCTTTAGTCCCTAAGGTGATAATGTTAGAGTTAACCACCTCAACTCACTAATTATAAATACCTGCTGTACAGTAAACGTTTTATAGGAGGTGTATATACAATTCAGACTTGTACCTTTTGTATCAGGGTGTATCCAGGATGTTGCACAATTAATTTTCAAAGGGCAGCCATCAAATACTTTTGAAAAACATGCTCCCATCTTGTTTATAAAGAAAGAAAACATGGTTTATTTTATTACATAATTTTAATATTCTTAGAAAATCATGCAATGTCAAATTCTTTTTTAGAAACTTGGGGTTTTATCTCAAAACAAAATACAGAATTTAACACAGTTAAACTTTTTCTACCAAGAGTCCCAATCTTCCCTTTCTTTCCATTTTAGGGTCAAAGTACCAAATTTACCAAACATCTACATATTTAAGGAGCTGCAGGATTTTAAGTTATTACTTCAGGACTAACATCAAAGTGAAATCATACTTCATTTTCTTCAGTACCACTGCAGTGATGAGAACAGCAGTGTAAGTCTAGAATATATGCAACAGACAACAAGAGCAACTCTGTATTCTAGACATTAACTACATCAGTAGCACATTTCACAAAGTACCCCGTTCCCACGGTTGGCAGCACCACCTCACGGATATCGCACTGTGAGACGACAGAGAAGTGTTAACCTAAACTGCCTTCCTTCTCATTGGACATCGCTCAAGGCGGGAACGGCTTCGTAAGGAAGAAGGCCCAGTATTAACACCACAGTAAAATTAAACTGCTGCTTAGATGCTAATCTGAGAACGCACTGACAGAATTTATGAATCTTCAATTTTGTTTTTCTTTTTGTTCTTTCTCCTTTCCCTTCCTTCCTATCTTTCCTTCCTTCCTTCTTCCCTCCCTTTCAATATCTGATTGCTCAGATGTAGTCTGGAACTCACTATGTGGGCCAGGCTGACCTTGAACCCATGATCCTTCTGCCTTAGTCTATGGAGTGCTAAGATTATAGACCTGCTGTTACACCCAACTTGGTCTCCACATTTTAACCATGTCACTCAAATTGGAGTATGTGATCTGACTACAGCACATTTAAATCTATCTACTAACTTTATATTCCACAATATTATTTCTTTTAGTGGTTCAATATACTTGACAGGAAATCTACTCCTACTGCTTTTAAAGAGATTTAAAAAAAAAATCAGCAAACAGGTCACATAAACAGTCCTTACCAAAACTTTTGGGGTGGGTGGAAGGCCATTGATGGTTGGTTTCTGTGAAAAAAAAATTTAAAGTAATTTTTAATAATGTAAGAAACCCTAGGTTTAAAAATAGAATTTTAGTCATTTGCTGTTTCAGTT